GTGAACGGCACTGGAGAGGTGGTGTCCGCCGTGAACGGCAGGGCGGCAGTGCCCACCGTAGACGGACCCGGGGCGGGGCATGGTATGTGGTTTTGGTTTTTTAGTACGTTTTTTCGATAAGACGATATGGTAAGGTAGGGTGGGATGGCAAAAAAGTTAGTAGTAAGTGCAGTGATAGGGACCGATTAAGGGTTCTTTATTGTAAAGCTATGAAAGGTCAGTTCATTTACTGCTGTCATATTGTGAGCGCTACCCAGCAAGGTTTGTGGCTCAATGATGGATCACGGTTGCTCTTTGCTTTTATGTTATTCGCCAGGAACTTATCCAAACGCTAATAATCTAGGAGCCTGTACTAGTGATATATCCTTAGAGAAAAACTTCCATTGAAAATATCCACCTCTTCTGAGTCTGCTTCTCCTTGAGATAAAAAGAGTCACTAGGCCTTTTTTTAAAAGACTTTACTCATAAAGATGAGGGTCTTTCCCGAATTTTCACGGCGAGCGGCAAAAGTCACGGGGCGGCGACCCTATCTTCCACTCGAAATTTAAACCTTCCCCTTCAAGGCGCGCAATTGCGCGCGATCGGGTGGGGCGAAGGCGACGCCGTTTCCGGAGAGGAGATACCGGGCCTTAGAAATTGTGAGCACATGCAATCGTTAATAGCGATAGAATGAGCTCTTTTTACTTTCTCTTGGAGTAAAGTTCCTTGAGCCAATCACTATAGTAACTTCTATGTCGAGCATTGCTTTTAACTTCATAACCGCAGCACTGTGTATCCAGATCAATTGATTGATTAATATGATGCGCGCGTTAGCGTGTATAGCCGAACTTGTTATAATAATAATTGAATGAAAAAAATGAGAAGAAACAAGTGGAAAAATTGCAGAAGTCGATCTGCTCGAAGACACAAACCCCTGTGGTAGCGATATTATTAACAAAGGAGATTTGCTGAAACCCGTTTGTCGATCGTTTCACTGCCCATTGCCATCGTCGACTAGCATTTACGTATAGGATGTCATTCCCTGCAGCATCACCCGAATACAAATTAACATATTCGCGAAATGATGGCACCTGAAATTGAATATTATGTTCGTCCTTCCAATCAAAAGGGGTGGGGGAAGGGGTGGAGCTCTCACGCGTGCGATCGCGTGCGTCAGCTAAGGTCCGTAACAAATTGACTCTGACCTACTTTTTAAACATTTTTATGAATTTTTGATGCCGTGGGCTTATTAAGCTCAGTAATCTATCTTGCTAAACCGCTATATCTAAATCTCTTGATATAAGATCAATTATTCGCTAGTACTACTGTCTAAATTCATCATTCTACTCCTGAAGAGATCTTCACCTCAGGAACTGAAAACTGTAAAGGTGGAAATTTTCAATACCTCAATCAGTTTTCCATTATAATATACGGAGACACTTCGGAGCGTTCCGGCAACATCGTATGTTCTCTTTCGGAACATCTTACAAATGGCATCATCGAGGGTAGTGACGCCGAATTTGGCCAGATCCGGTCGGAAAGTGATCCGAGTGCCATCTATTGCATCCGAAACTTCAACGACAACTGGTTCACCAAATTCACGCATGTTCTTAGTCCATACCTAAATGCGGGATCTAAAACAGCCAAGTTGTAGGACTTTCATTTGAGGCTCTGGATCATCCTACAATGAGGTAACGGCATGAGACGCGAGCGCATACGGCGCAGTAGCACCTTATAATGACTTATTGACCCTACCAATCACAAACATTAACTGTAATCATGATTCATTTGGTTCCGCATCTACCCGACCCTTCTTTACAGAATAAAGGGAAGTTTTTATTAAGAGCCAATACATGAAGATACAATTCAGAAAAATCCCATCAAGCCTCAAGAACCAGGACATGCAAGCCAAATCTGAAAAACATCTATCCAACATTAGAAAAAAACCTCATATTGTAGGGGAAAACTGCGANAAAAAAAAAGTCAAAAAATTTACCTGCCGAAATGTTTTACCACCTTGATGAGATGAAGTCTCTACAATGAACTCTGTCGAGAAAATGTTACACAACTTCGCGCCGTAACCATTGCGTCCTCCTGCAAGCCAAACAGTGTTTTCTGGTCTGTCAATATGTTGAACGACAGTTTTTGAGTTGACTTACCAACTACTTTCACCTCCTTGTCGTCGTAATTCGATGAAGTAAATAGATTACCGAAGATTAAAGTCGGCACATAGATCCCTTCAATCGGGTGTATCTCTATTGGAAGACCTCGACCATTGTTGAATATGGAAATCTTCCCTCCCTTCCTAGAATAGACAGACACTCGTAAGGCAAAATGGGAAAAAAGGAGGTAATCGAAAATTAACGATTGGAACCTACTGATCAACGTCGACGCGAAGTTCGTCCATAGCAGGGTCCCTCTGTTTATTATCAGCAGCATTCACGAGTATCTCGTCGAAAATCTTCAATAGAGCCGGTGAATATGTCAACGGCATCTGCACACAGCTTCGTCCATCCTCTGATACCACCCATGCATCCTAAGGGTCATTTGGGCGGAAGACCATGCATAATACCGTAACCCAAACAACAAGAGGATCAGATTGTACACCTACCGGATGTTCTGCGAGTGCTGTTGATCCCACATAGGTATCAGGTCGAAGAAGAATATGTTCGATAGGCGATTTCCGCTCATAACGAAGGGTTTCTGAAAGAAATTTCAAAATTGATCAACCAGAAAAAAATAGAAAGTATTTTATCGAGCTAAGGGATCTTCGAAGGCCCAACTCAAATAAAACTTTGCTTGGGATAGAACTCACCTACTGCAGGGTTAGTAGAGGTAGCGACGGCAACAGTCTTTCTGGCTCTTGTTTGGAACCTTAGCGCTGAGACATTGAAGAGACGCTGTTGGTTATAAAACAGATTATACCGCAAACAAAAGCGAATCCCGACGGCACATCGTCGCATGCCCTGAAAGTGAGTCTATCTGTTCTACCTTAAGACATGTAGAACTCAAATAGCACCACAAGTAAGCCATGTACTGCTGCCACCTTTTAGTTCGACACTGAACCAAAGGTGGTCTTTTCGACAGGGAAACTAGAGTGGAGGAGGGTCAGACAAGGGGAATTTCCAAGGGTCGTAATGAAAGATGCTATTGCGAAGGCAAACTTGAGTGCCAAACGTTTTAAGAAACTTTCTCGTCATCGCTTCCCCCAGACCTACGGTAACAATCCTTACCACAGATCTTACTTGTTCCTTCTTATCCAAAACTAAAAGGAGACTGACTGAGATTGAAGTTTTGTCAATAAATCGCCGACCTTTAGAGACTTTCGGAACGTGTACTGCGGCGAAATAACTGCAGTTAACAAAACATCAAGTGTGCCTTTTGCCCAGAGACTACCGAATTTGAAGGTTCAATGAGATATAGAGATTATGAAAAAGAAATAACCGGAAAGAACATACAGCTTGAGAGAATTGGAAAGTGGTGGAAGTTCGATTCTAAAGTCATAGTATCTAGTTAGCCAAGTTCGTAGGATGAAATTCAACTTAATCATGAAGGCTCACTATTACTAAGAGTTCGGAAAAGAAAAGGACCGTCGGCTAAATGACTGAAGCTATTTTATGAATAAAACAAGTATTTGAATACAACCACAACTTTGAATGGAAGTAGTATGCACGGCGATTTCCAGTGACTACGAACAACTAACATTTTCACCCGTTTGATTGAGAGGTCAAAGTGATGGGACCCTTGGTGCTCCAACTCTTCTGAAACCTGATTTTTTCGAAAGCCATTCACCTACACTTTGCCTTCAATGCAAAACTAACGTCAGTTGCCGAAGGGTTACGGTATCTCCAGCCGACCAATCATAGGCGAGCCTAGCCACCCAGGTGACTCATCACCAATGATACCTACCGTATACACGGCAACAGCCGCCAACCCAAGCAAATCAAAACTGACTAGAAATGGAGGTCGTCCATAGATAGTTGAGTCAATTCCCGTTTAGCAATCTCAGTTCTGGGTGCGCCATGCATTTAAGTCCCATGTAGAAGCGGCACACCGTCAGAAAACGTATACAGAAGAGCAAAATTTTCACGGAGAGAAAAATGCGATAATGGGAGTTTCAATGTTCCTTCTCAAACACCAAAATCCCCTACAGAATTTGGTCATATGAAAGGCTAGAAAGCGAAAGCTACGACAAAAATACTTTCGAAAAATATACTTCGAATTACTACTCTCTACTACTAGATAACATTCGTTAAAACGAAAAGCAGAAGTATGATGGATAGAGAACCAACAAATAAACTTCATTCCGAATTCAATCATTTGGACCTGCTTCAAAAATACACAACAACTGCACC